GAGCACAGTGAAACGAGTTATTTTAAAAGTTAACACGAAACTTCCAAGGTTATCTAGACCATCTTCATATACAGCAAGGAAACCTTCATTTTTATCGAATTCGACTAATAGCTTCGATGATATTGAAACCGATCCTTCTTCGATTGTACAAGAAAAATCATCTAATAAAGAGAATTTAATGGAAGCAAATGATCAACTTGAACATTTGGAAACGTCCAAAGATAACTTTATTAAAAACGAATATACAGCTGATGATAATGATAATCAAGAAGCTCCCGTATTAATGCGTAATATTGCGAAGACAATGTCATCATCCACCACAAAGACGCAAAAGACGAATGTGATCGCAGCAGCAGCAAAATCATTACCAAAGAATTTTATACGTTCGTTACGAGGTGATACATCGAGAAAAGAAAATGATAAACCGCCAATTATTACGTTGATCACGACACCTTCGTTATCACCACCGGTCGTTAGTCAGTTTTCTTACACATCATCATCAACAACAACAGTTATTGAAAAAAAAAAGAAAAATCGACGTTCGAGGAGTGAAAGTATTTCGATGACAGCACAAGCTTTATCGAATATGTTAAAACGAAGGTCAAAACATCGGTCTGGTTCAAACGATTCTAATTTAATAAGGAACGATAATAATGGTGGAACACCTGCGTTGACTTATGAAAGTTTTCCTGATCCCGATCCCGATGATTTTTTCAATGTTTATTCATGGGATATACCGGATTCTATCGTTTCAATGGAAGATGCTGGTGGTGTGTTGCAAATGATTGAATATGACGGAATATTTGTAAATGGCGTAAAAGTTGATTAATAATTCATTCATTCATTCATTTATTTTTTTACGTTTTCTATATATATATTAATTCTCATTAGTCACTCTTTTAGAAATTTCTTGTATCATATTTTATGATGTAATTTATTATATTACATTTTGTCATTTATTAATTTAGGACGTATATACTTTCATTTATAAAATAAACCTTGTTCAACATCTTTATAAATCTTATTTCTTTTTTTTCGTTAACTTATTGTATTATATACTGTATAGAATTTATTTATTATTTAATAAATTTATTATTCGTATGTGATTTTTCGAAAAATATATAAATATGTTTAAACCATTTTACGGCTTTTTCCTTACTTAAATCCTATTATTATGATTATTATTACTCTTCTTCCTTTACATGCCATTTTACACAAGTATTAATTGCATCTTTATTTATATGCATTTAAATATCAAAAGATCATTTGACACGGTACATATGCACACGAAAGTATATTCTTAGAGGAAAGCGCATCTTTATGCAGGTGAATTTTGTGTGAGAAAAATGGTGGAAGCAGGATTCCTTTTGATATTGAGGAATGATATATGATAATCTAGGGAGAACTTCCAATACACTTGAAAAAACGGAAATGAACGGATGTATTGAAGTTAATTCGAAATTTTATAATTATCTTGGGTTAAATTGATGTTTGGATAGCATTTGGTTATACCTTTAAGGTGAATCGTTTAAATGTTCGGTAGGGTATCTTGAAGGTTGCTTAACATTTGTTCTGATTTTATTTTATATTTACTTAATGATTAAAATCTTTCATTCTTTTATTATTAAAGATCAATATTTATAACCCTTCCATCATTATCATAATTAAATATTCCAAATATAATTTTCAAATCAATTCTAATGTTATTTTTTTTTTTTTAAAAAAAAAAAAAAACAGAGTTTCGTATTCAATATCCTTTTTTATGAAGATTGCTTTGCTGTATGTCCATATTGAATTTACTTTCGTATATATATTGTATATTGTATGTTAAGATTATCATTGATTTCAATTGTGACACTTGTAAATTCGATTTCGATAGTTTAATTATTCTGTATAATTGATATTCTTTGTAAGAAAAAAAAAATGAATTTAGTAAAATCAACATAATATTGTAATGTTAATACAATGAAAGAATTTATTGAATTAATAACTTACCTTAATTATGAGATTTTTTTTCCTTATTCTCAATAAAATAAAATATATTTAAATACCCAAAATTATTCTTTTAATAAAAATTTACGTCTTGATTGAATCTATTTACAAAGCAGGAATTTAAAACCTGTAAGGACTAAAATAACAAATTCGTGATATATTTTTTATCAAACAAAAAAGTAATTATTTTTTGGTGGCATCATCAGCTTTCGCTTTAACCTTTTTCATTTTTGGTTTTTTCTTTAAAGATTGATGATCTTTCGACGGAAGGTCATGAGAATCTTCCCCATTCTTTCCTTTTCTCTTTACTTTACTACTATTCGCAACATTTTTGTTATTATTTGATGTTACGGGAAAATAATGATAAATCTCGTTCGTTCTTAAATCTTCTGGCATCTCAATATTATAATCAATTGCTTCTTGTTTATGTTTTTCCATTGGTTTCAATCTGAACCTCAAATCTTCAATCATCCTTCCTAAAACCACATCATCTATCCAACGATTATTAGAGTTGCAACAAATTTTAAAATGTCTAACTTTCTTGATAACTAATGGTGAATTAAAGCTTTTTTTACAATTTGGACATGATCGTGCAAATGTAAATATGTCACTATTCTGTTGTATTAATTCATTTCTTATTTTTCGATGCTTCCGTTCTTCTTTCTGAAGTTCTTTCAAGTCTAAATCATCGGATCCCTTTTTAGTCTTCATTTCTGATAATGTTTGTTGAACAAAACCATCTTCTTCACTTTCTTCGCTTGGAGTTACAAGTTGTTCTTCGGAAGTTACTTCAATTTCTTGATCAACACCATTTGACGAAGCGGATTCCTGTATTCCAGACGTATCTTCAATAATCGACCCGTCATCATCACCATTTTCTTCATACATGCTGGTTTCTACAATACTTTGGTGAGAGAATTTATAAAAACTAACGGTCGAATATCATGAGACTTTCTATTTCTTCAAAAGGTCTAAAACGTTCAAAATTTTTTAGTGCAATTGTTTCCATTTTAGGATTAATTTACATTTTAAACATTTTTCGATATCGAGAAATAGAAAGTGATCACGAACCATTATTCATTTTAGGTATTTTTCTGTTTTACTTTAATTGGTCAGATCAAGTGTAACATAAACAAAATTTGGGCCTTAATATTAAGTTTTCGAAACACTATTATTTTAAAGACAACTTTAGTTTATAGATTAAAAGTATAAAGTCTTGGGTTTAATATGTTAACTAAAATTAAAATTTTATTAAATGTATTTATTATAATTGATTTATGTAATATCTTATCATTTTCTGCCTCTTGAATCTATACTTGCTATTTTTCTTTAAAGTATTACAAACATCATAAACTATTTATAAGTATAAGAAGCAATATAATAGTAAAATTTATAATAAAAGTGAATTACAAATTAGAATTTTAATTAATATTCAACATTAATGATATTAATTAAAGCTAATTTTCATTTATTTTAATGATTAATTAATTTTAAATTTTGAAATTTATTAATTTTATCATAAATTTATTATATGATTTATTTATATAATTTAAATTTTCTTCAAAATTTTTGGATAACATTATTATTTAGCATATAGAAAATTTGCTAGAAAAATTAGATTCTGAGAATTTTTTAATAAAATTTACCTTTCTATATATATTTAAATTTTAAAATATCTATTTAAATCTATTATACTGTTTTTATTAAATTGTTTTATAAAAACTATTAATATTATTTAAAAGTAAATAAAATAGTTTTAATTTATATTATATAATCTATCATAATATATATTATAAATTAAATCTATAAGAACTTTGTAATAAAAAGAAAAAACTGTCAAAAATTAATTAATTTTATTTTTATATACTTAATATTATTATTATTAAATTAAATATATTTAGATTTAATATTCTGTTTAATTGAAGGTTGAGTAACAATATATATATTTATTTAATATAATTATAACCTGATTAATAATATATATATAAATATATAATAATAATAAAATTATTAGTAATTTAGAATAATAGTTTATATTTAATATTTATATATATTATTTTTATTAATTATTATTATAAAAAAATTTAAAATAATTTAATATTAATTTTATATATAATATAATTTTATTATATAAATAATTATATAAATTTTTATATAATTATAATAATTTTTTAATATATTATAAATAAAATTTAATAATAATAATTATAATCATAAAAATAAAAAAAATGTATAATATTTTGATTAATTATCAATTTAATTAATTAATATTTAAATTATATATATTCTAATAAAATCATCTAATTAAGATAGAAAGTAGGATTTCTTATTTATTTTATTATTATTTTATTTTATAATTTTATCTTTAATAATTTTACAATATAAATAAATATTTTATGATAACTAATATTTTATAAGTATAATAATATAAAAAGATATATTTTAATATACTTATAAGCAAATTTTTTATTTTAAAAAATACATAAAATTTTAAATATACTATTTTTTTTATAAATTTTTTTAAGCTTAATAGATAATTTTTATATGTTTAAAGTCTGTTAAAATCTTATTATTATTATATTTTAATATTCTTTTATTATATCTTTAATTTTAAATATAATTATAATAAAAATTAAATTATTAATTTAAAATAATTTTTTAAAATAAAGACAAATTTATCATTTACTTTTTATATTTTATACAATTTAAAATAATAGTAATTGTTATATGAATCATTAAACTTTTTTTAATCAAATTTATATCAATAATATATAAAATATTAATTATTATAAAAGTTAGATTTTGAGCATTTAAATAAAATTAAAATTTTAAATATTAAAAAAAAAATGTAATAAATATTAATTTTAATTAAAAATTTCAAAATTTGATTTTTTTAGCAATTATTCTATATATTAAATTTTTTAGAATAATAAGTTAATTCTAATTGATAATATTTTATTTAATAATATTAAATAATTTATATTATATTTAAGATGATTAATATATATTTAGGTTATTGCTCTTATTTTTTATTAATTAATTAAAATAAAATAAAGACAAATTAATTGTATTTATTATTAAATTTATTTATTTTATAAATATCATTCTATAAATATTATTTTTATTTTTATTTTTAATAGTTTAATATATATAATGAATAATAATCTTAACAATCTAGTAATTATTTTAATAATATAATATAATAGTTATTTAAACTAATAATATAAATACATAAATTATATGTAATTTTGTAATATATTTTAATTTTTAATTTACCAGATTTTATTAATATGGTATATAATTTATTTATTTTTTTTTGTAATAATTTTAGAATAACTTTAATATTTAATATTTCATCATAAATATTTATAAAAAGTATAGCATAATTCATAATGCTAATTAATTATCTACTATTATTAAAATTATATAAGTTATTATGTGATTTTATAATGATTTTAAAATAACTTACATTGTCTAGAAAAATGGTAATTAATTTGTGATTTCAAAATACTGATTTTTGAGAATTATATTAATTTTATTTATAAATCAATAAATCAAATATAATTATTTTTTAAAATATTATATTCATTAAATAGTTAATCATCTTTTTCTACTTTTTTTTTCTTATAAACAATTTCGTTATACTAAATATATATATATATATATTTTTTTTTTATTAATATATAAGTTATTTTTATAATTTTTTGTAACACCTGATGGCAGTGATGTACATTTTTGATGTCCCAGAGATTTGTTGTCCCAGCTATATGTCCCAACCTGTCCCACACTATGTCCCAAAGGTCCTATCTGTCCCATCTATGTCCCATCAGCGTCCCATCAGTGTCCCATAAATGTCCCATGACAACACTGCCTGATGGATACATGCCTCTTTGATAACGACGGGACTTTAACGGTTTCCGTTTTACTAGTTATAGGTGTAAATGATGGCACTGGATTTCTTCTTTTAATTTTAATAAATTTGGATGCTTACAATTATGATAAGCAATAGTTAGCATCAAATTAATAGACGTAAATTATTCTTATAATCCTAAAAATTGCATATGAAAAAATATTCATTAATAGACCCCAATTGAGAATTGTAAATAATTCAAATTCATAAACATTTCGCCCTTTTAATTTGCGAAAATAAAAATAGTCGTTGAGCTTGTTGAAAATCATTAAGTCGTCATATGTTATTAAAATAAAGTTTGGAAGAAATGTATTGGTGAAATATTTCAGGTTTTGCCATAATAATGATTTACTTCGACTATGGATCGGCCAATAAAAATAATTGTATTTTTGCCGATTGCATTTTAATCTTTTATTAGTTTCTAATCACACTCAAGAACTAAGGAGCTGTTAGAAGAATCACGTAACAAACTGAAAAGACTTTTATGGTTAAATAATATTTGCCCAAATTTTAAATCATAAATCATTGGAAAAAATTAATGGCAAGACATTAATAATAATACAGGAATAATAATAAATTTTTTAAATAAAAATTTTTTTAACAGGCAGAAAAGCAATTCCTACGGATGATAGCAGTTATTGAAAACTATTCAATATTACACAAATAAAAATATCAAAAAAAAAAAAAAAAAAAAAAAAAAATCCTTTTTTTATATAATCATATTTATTTTTGGTCGTAAATTACCCAAGAAAAATTTGGTCATAAATTGTATCGTAAAAAAATTTTGCCGACAATCAGTATCCGAAGTCACGTGTTAGCCAGAAAAGAAACCCGACTACCATTTTTCTATGCTTTCATTATTGCCGGATCTATGATTTGTCAATTGGGAATTATAATTTATTATATGATGCATTTCTATTGAACAAGCCCATTTTTATGGATAAGCGAACCATATAAGAAATCGATATATTGAAGCGTTCGCAAAATTTTTTTTCAAAATAATAACAATTAATTTCTATAATTATATTTATTTAAAAAGGTATTATATTATTGTAAATTCTTTACATAGCGGATAAATCTTTAACATATGTATCGATATCGTGGTCTTCAAGGTTTTTAACAAGGATAGAATTACTACACCTTTTATCATCAGCCTTTTGACAAACGACAATTTCATTTTTTGGGTTCATCCAAAATTCAGGACCATAATGAGTATAATGAGTATAATTAGGAGGTAAATGGGGAATAATGTCACCTTTATCTACTAATCTAAAGAATTTATAACCGGAATTCATAATAAATTGAGCGAATTCCTTATTACCACTCCTTGGTTCCCCATAAGTATAAGTAAAAAGGTTAGAAGGGTTTAATCCAGGAGTACCGATTAAGTCTAAAGTTTGAAACGTCGCCAAAACTCCTCCCAAAGAATGACCGGTAGTAATAACTTTATATGAAGGATATTCTTTGACCAAATTTTTAGTCAAAGAAGTAATTCCTTCTTTCGTCGCGTGATAAAAAATCATAAAACCTGAATGCACCATAGCATTCGGTACGGAAGGAGAGTATGGAACCTGAACAATTTTATAATCCAGTAATAAAGATGGGTCATCAGTTGTACCACTATAAGCTACTATAATTGCTTTCTTTTCATCATTAATCGCAACATAACCATTATTCCTTTGGGATGAAAATGGAAAAATTTCTATTAATCGAGTTCCATCCGTATCGCCTTTGCATACGTCACATTCCCAACCTTTTACATCATAGTATGCGGCACTAACATTAGAATCAAGTTAGTTCCGTTCATCGTATTATTTTAGTTAAAGACTAAAAAGAGAAATATTAATTTACTTGGCATATTGTATCCATAATTTAAATTCACGAATAACAGCTTCAGTTGCAGGTGCAGGATCATGATGTCGAAATATTGAAAGTGCGTTAGTTGTTTTAGTCGTAATATCTAATAATGATAAAATAATTGCAAGATATTTTCCAATAGAAGAAAAATTAAAGTATAAAATCATTTTTTTTTTTTTTTTTTTTTTTTTTTAAAAAAAAAATGATATTATTTCTGTTCTTAAATATTCAACGAAGAATGATTATAATAAACTTCATGAAGCGAATGAAAAAGTTGTTTAATTTTAGAGGTGATACATAAGGATCAGAAGAGAAAATAATTACTTGTTTTTTGATTTAAGATCTTATAGTTTTCTGTATGTCGTGTTTTCTTGATCAATAAATATTCCTTTTTCTATGAAAAGGTATTACATTTGGTTTGGTTCCTTGTATTGTGGAATTTATGCGCTTCCTGATGTTTGATAATTTTATACTAATCGGTTAATTCTAAAGTTAACGAAGAGTATGATAATAGTATTTTCCTAATAAAGTATGTAAAGTATGGTATGAATTACACTAATATTTTACATGTGAAGTTTTTTAATCTAGACCGACCCTTCATTCTCGAGATGATTTATTCCATTGTAAACGCGGGATTAACAAAAGTCGTTGAAGATGATTTATGATAATGATATCATACTTCATATGTGAATTTTCATCTGAATGAAGAATCTTGTGAAACGAATTACTGGGAACGTTAATTGAGCGAACGCGAATTTAACCTTGGAGCAATTTAATGTAAAATCAAGAAACATGCATCATTTTTAATAATATCAAATGCTTTATCGTTATCGTTTTTATAAAAGACCTAATATCACCCAGGAAAAAAAATGATAGGTGACATAGATCTCTACTGCGGATGTGCTATGCGAGAAAATTTATTTATCCAATCTCCCTAAATTTCCGAGTACAATTACTGTACATCTCATTATCAAACCCTAAAGACGAAACAGTTAGCATAAACCTTATTTTTCTCACAGATTAGAAATAAAATCAAATGAGAACATGTTAATAAGCAGTCGAATTAGTATTCTGAATTGAAGGGAGCAATATGAATTATTTTCATAAATGCTTGCTTGCCTTAAGGCGTTTCGCAAAAGAAAAGTATTTTTTTATTAATATAATCATCTTTGTTGCTTAAAGCAATCCTTACTAGGCGAGCTACATAAACATCTATACGCTTGCGATTTGACTCTACTGAAGAAGAAATGTTGTATATATACTATATATCGTCTTATTCGTGGCGCTGAAAGGATACGGGCAAGGGTATTTATAGAAAAATTTCCAGACAGAATTCGCACGAATAACTTTGCCATTCTGGGAATATAATCATCAGATAGGACTAGTTAATTCATAACAGGTCTGGTTATCAAACAAACATATCATATTTGAATCTCATGAATTTATTATATCGAACTTTTTCTTAAATGGAAATTTGATGACAAATTCAATTTATTAAAAATGGATAAGAAAATAAAGGATCTTTGCAATGAAAAATTTGCCAGAATATATCAAATACTTACTGTATATTTCATTATTAATCATTCTCTATAACTGTATTATAAAAAAACCTTATTTGATTTATTATAATAACTGAGTATAATCATCAGGATCATATTTAATATTTAATTTTTTTAATAAATTTCTCTTCATTTCTGAGAATTCTAATTTGTTAGGGTTCCATTCGCCCTTTTTAATTAAATCATTAACCTTTCTTCGTGTTTCGTCAACATCGGCATAATAATACCTAATAAATCAGTATTAAATTAACACTTTAAAAGAAACAAAATGACCAACGACTTGGAGAAATTACTTACATTACATCAGGAAACCAAGACTTCCAACGTCTTTGAAATGGTAATAAGTAAAATAACTCAATCTCTTTTAAAATCTATTAAAATATTTTAAATATTTGTAAAACAGTTTAATGATGTTTATTCAAAAGTTAAACAACAAACCTCCGCTTTATGCACCAAGTACGAAACTCTATTGTTATCTTCTTCAATTGCATTATTAAGCAAACCGATAAGTAAATTCAAAAGGTATACGACGACAACGGAAAAGAATGAAATCATTAATAAAACAAAAAATGGATTCTCTTTATATGTCCAATTTGCAAAAGAGGTTAAATCACCTATAATAAATTAAATTATTTAGATACAATAAAAAAAAAGATGAATTTAAGATACTTTTTAAATAAATAAACATACCGGTTAAAGATAAATACATTGCAAGAAGTGCGGTTTCAAAATTAGCAAACATATTTGTATTTTCATTAGGTTTTTGAATAATAAATGGATTTGTACTAATTGATCCATCTTCAAGTAATTGATTATAAGAAGAAGCAAGATTCCAAGGATTATTTTGATCCTTGTTATTTGTATAATTATCTAACGAATAATTAAGTTTTGGTCTTAAGAGAATATAAAATGAATGAGCAAAACCAATAATTATAATCATCAAAATAAATAAGAAATAAGAAATTTTTTTTGCAACACTAATAATGATTGTAAAATATACCCCAAAAGGTTCAAATACTCTAAAGAACAATAAGAATTTTAAATCTAAAATTAGACACGTCAATGAAAGTAACCAAGTATTTTCATAATAAAGAGAACTAGCAATTGAAAGAATATATGCCGCTAAATCTATATATAATAAAATAACAATGAATCAATTACAAATCTTCATTTACGATAAAAATAAAGAATTATAATATTTTAACATACCAAACAAATAAAATACATTACAAATCGATTCGTCAGGGCTACATAGTTGTCGACGGTATATAAAAGTTAAATTAATAGACGCAATGATAATCGAAGCAATAAAAAGATTTTTCCTGATATCTTCGGATAAATAATCTTCAGAAAGTGTTGCAGCGGTAGTAAAGCAACCAAGTAAAATGGCAAATTCCATCCAAATTATTGCAAAATAATATTTGCCAAATGAGTTCCACTTGAAATTAATCAATGCCTCACCACCCCAAGTTTTATATATCTCACTAGATATTGTTTCTATGAATGGACTAGGTTGAGGATGAAATAATTCTTCAATCCAATCATAATCTTCCGGATAACTAACAAATTTGATGTAAGGTATCATAAAAGTAATTGTGGGTTTGGAAGAAGTGTAACTTAGACTATAATAAAAATAGGCAGACATATCATATTTAACAATATTATTAACGATATGAAAACGATCTAAAATATTAAACGTTAAAAAAGAAATAGGTAAACTATAAGCACATAGAACGTATTGGCAGCTTAAAATGAATAACATGATTCCATGTAATATTCCATTTGATTTATCAACGATCCTTTTTAAAAGATAATTATATTTCGTCCACGCAAGAGATGGGGTTAAATTAACTAATTTAATACCTTCAAAAGGATGAAGATGTGAAATATTAAGCCGTTCTATGTTATAATCAAGTGAATCTATTATCATGTTTGTATCCGATGAATATTTTATGATATATTCAGGATAATATCGATTCAATAAGGATATCGAATTTGTGATGATGCTTAAAAACGCCTTGTTGTTTACTAAATCTCGTTTAAAATAATCGAGGCATTTCTTATAAATGCCATCAACGGATTCTATATCACGTTCCCTAATTGCAGTTATGAGTTCAACACTATATTTTAAAAAATTGTATCGATCAGTTTCTTCATGTGAAACCCAAAAGGTTTCATCAACCAAGCATTTGAGCTCAACATCGCTCAAACAAATATTGAGAAAATGATTTAAAATCAGATCATCTTGATTTAAATGAAAAATAAAAATGCCAATACTTGTTAGTATTATAATCTCTTTACTATTAAATATCTTGACTTTGTATATATCTATCGTTTTTTTGCATTTGGTTTTTTTAATTCTTTCAATTACATTATCATTTTCGAAAACGCGTAATCCAATAAATCCAGTCATTCGAATATTAGTATAAATTTCCAATTTAATATCCTTTGATTCATATTTAACGGTTGCTTTACGAAATAATTTTGATCTATCAATGTTCTCGCATGGAATGAATGGATCTTCGTATTCATTGTTGTCGTTTTCATTTCCAAAGTATGCATTCCAACTTTCTGTAACATCATTGGCTTCGAATTCCTTTGATACTAATTCTAACTCATCAAATTCAAGCTCGTCAAAGTTAATTTTCCATACATATCCGTCTATTATTACAAATATATATCTTTTTGATTGGTAATCATAAATTAGACTTGGAAGGCTTGTTAAAATCTCAATTGAGTGATCCGAGCAAAGATTCTGACAGCGTTTAATAATAGAATCTTTGATTCTGTGAATTGAATTATAATCAAATAAAGAAAGTAATAAACAATGTAGGCCATTATGTTGCTTCAGAAATTCATAAATTTTATCTAAATAATTTACTTTAATAATTATTTGGATGTTTACAAAAAAAAAAAATTATTTAAAATAAAATATTTACCATGATTTTCAACTTTTAAATCAAATGACGCAATAGGGGTCTCCGGTTCAGTTGAATAAACTGTAATTTCATCGTTTATTTTCAGATAAATAAACCCTTCATTACTAGACATTTTAATGTCTTTCGATTTAATCTGTTGATTTATCGAATAGATATTAGTTTGAATTACAATAAATATAATATATCTTAAAAATTTATAATTACCTCGCATAAATTTTTTGATAATTTTGACATAGTTGTATCGTCACTAATGCTCCGTTCATATATATTATTATTTAAACGCAGTCGAATCTTATCATGTTGTGATATGTTTATCAACTCCACTCCTTGAGGTACCTCATAAATCTCTTGACACTCCCACTTTTTAGTTTGTGTTGAATAAATCCAAATAATACTTATACGATTATACGATTTTTTCTTGTCATTTCCAAACATAGGGATAGACAATGATTTTTCAATTATATTATATAAAATGAATTCCCCTTTTGAATTAAAGCTACAATAAAATCGATCAATTATAAATTTAAAATATAACTCCGTTTCTTGATTTTGATTCTTCATATCAATTATTTCTAAAAAAATTTGTCATGATAATTTTTTACTAATTACAATATACATATTTGATTTCAAATAAACAAGTTTTATTACACTTACTCAAGTATTCATGTATATCCTTACTTCCAATCCCTTCAATATGTGAACCATATTCAACATAACTAAGCACTAGCTTCTTCTCATCAGAGACACACATGTGAAATATTTTTTTTTCATCTTCCTCATCGATTTCCTCAGTTTTATTGAATCGAAAAATTTTATCGGATTTAATGGTGCAATCAGGTTTAAGTTGACCTTCCTCATCATCAACGTTCCACCCGACAATTGTTTTGTCTTTTTCACTATAAGTAATAATATATTTTGCATTTGGTGATATTTCCATCATAGTAATTGGACTACCGTTATGAGGCTTGTCGATAACATCGATTTCTTGTTCTAAGATAAATATTTCGTGACCCATTTCCGAAATAAAGATATAATCTAATTTTGGAGGGAAAGACAACGCCCTTTAACACAAGAATGAGTTTTAAAAGGCGTTAATTACCTTTTTGACCTAATTTATTTCTGTGTAACAAATTATTAATTAATAGCAATTTATAATGCCAGCCGGAATTAATTGTATGTTATTGAACGGGGAATAACTATTTTCTGATGGGAATTAATATTTATTAGTATGCTTTTTTTCATTTTTGGTTTTTTTCGGCAGTATTCTAATTGCTATAATAAATGCATTGACTCTTGTTCCGCAATTTGCCGCAGTCCAAATTTATCTCATCTCATGAAATAATAAAAAATCGATGAAAAAGAAAATTTTTTCTCTTTAAATTCTATGGTTAATTAAAGATTTTATAACGCGGAAAGCAAATAAACACCTACCAAAAAAAATAAAATAAAAAAAAAAATAACGGAACAAACAATTTGTTAATATTTTAAAAGATTTAATTTCATTATAGAATTTGAAAACATTGATCAACTTTTTGAGGTTTAACTTGTAATCATGCTGCAATTCATACACTTCTATATTAATTCAATACAATTTTATTTTGAAATATCTAATAAACCTTTTAAAATCTGGTTTAAGGCCCCATTAATGTGAAAATTTAGAAGATAATAAATCACTCTGAAGATTTTAATCACGAAAGAAATAAATTTAATAATAAAAGATTTTATTATGACTATCGTTTTTGGAATAACAACAGATTTTGTAAAAAATTTTTTAGACAATGATGATAACTTTCAGTATTCTAATTAAATAAAGCCTTTTTTTTTTTTAATTAAAAAAATGATTCAATTGCATGCATATGGGGATTGCCAAGTCAATATTGGAATGATGCTTTCTTCTTACTTTATTGAAGATATGTTAAAACGCATTCAATCCTCAACATAAATTTAATAGTTGGAATGTTTTAGATTTTTTGACATGTCGTGTCTCAAGTTAAGGATCTGCAACTCCAATTTGAAATTTCAAATTTGGGCAATGCGATTTATTGTCCCAATTTAAAATTGAGACAAATTAGAATTTGAGACAAGCGGTGCCCCAAGTTGACCATTGCTTCAATTTAAAATTGGTGACACTTTGAAATTGAGACATGCGGTACCCCAAGTTGACCTTTTCCAAATTTAAAATTGAGGTAAATCGGAAATTGAGACATGAGGTGCCCAAGTTGTCCATTGCACCAATTTAAAAGTTGAGGCAAATTGGAAATTAAGCTATGTGCCCTAATTAGAATTAAGGAAATTGGAAACTGGAAATACAGTGCCTTAAGTTGGATATTGTCCAATTTAAAATTAGGCAATAGACGACTTGGGATATCACAATGTGTTAAAGATCAAAGCTACCAAAATTTATACACGTGATTTATTGTAGCTAAGTTCAAACATTAAATTAAAGATGCCTAGTTTGAATTTCAAGTTTGGACTGTTCGAACTTGAAATTTCAATTTTGGCAATATGGTTTAAAGTTGGAACAGATCGCAACTTGGAATATAACATTTATATCACTTCGTTGACGTGACGTCACTTTTTGTTCCTTCATCAAGGATAATAATATTTGGCATTTTATATAATATCATATATCTCACAAATTAAGTGATAAATGCAAATGTTCAATGAAACGTTATAGAAAATGAAATTTTACATTATGATTTTATTTCATATTTAATATTCCTTCTGAAAATATGTATTTTCATTTTTTTTTTGCTAAAACATTTTAAAAAGAAATATATAATCTTGTATTAAGATTTAAATGTCTTCTAAAAAATATAAATTAGTATCAATTATATATAAATTAAAGTAAATTCCTGATATTTTTATATTGATAATTTTTATTTTGCAATTATTGTGATTTTTTTTGTAGAATAAAAACATAAATTTAATTGTAAAATGCTTATTGTAAAAAAAAATCTGATACGAAAAAAAATTTATGAAGATAATCAATAAGCTTTAAAAATAACTTTACTTATTACTAATTCTAAAAGAGAGATAATAGAAGATTTAATTCAAGCATTTACAGTTTCAAATATATTACCTCTTTTCTTTTTAAAATATCTTAAATAGTCTTTAAGCACTAATTTTATATAATTATATTTATTTAGAATTTTTAATAAATATATTAATATTCTAAACATTAAATTTTGATTTAAATCTAATTATATTATTATAGATGAAAGTAATAAAATTATGAGTAAAGTGTAATAATACTTTTTTTATATTTTATTCATATATAAAATTAATTTCAGTTAAGATTGTTTGCCTAAACTCATTTTAGATTTGGTAAAAGTCTAATCTTTAATTTTGTTATTTTTATTAAGATTTGATATAGTTTTACTATTTTTATATATTTTAATATAATTTATTTTATATTAAGTTTTGCAAATCTTTTTAATAAGATTTTAATACAATTTTACTAAATAGTATCTATTACCTTTAAACAATTTGCAAAATCTTTAGATTTTATGTAACTTAATTGCAGTTAATTTTAAAATAAGTAAATAATATAATAATTATATAAATACTTCTTCTCATATTATATTCTTATACTTTAAATACTTTAAATATTTCATATTTATTTCTTTCTAATTTTGAAACATATATAAAAAAGTATTATAATAATATCTTAAACTATAATTAATATATTTATTCTATTTTACATATCGATATATATTAAATCTTATTAAATAAATTAAAATAAAATTAAAAAGTATTATAATTATATAATATTAATATAATTTATATAATTTTCTATTATTTTTTCTTTTAAAATTTTATTTATTAAAATTAAAGATATTTTAGTTAAATCTTTTGCAAAAAAAATTGATAAATAATTCATTTAGAATCATATTACTATATAAAGTTTTATTATCAAATAAAACTTAGTAAAATAGTTAATTTAAAATTAAAAAATATCTTCAATTCTGATTGGATATTTAAAAATAAATATTAAAGTAAAATTAATATATAAAATTATAATTAAAATTCATTCAATTTATAAATTTTAGTATAATTAAGAATATTACAATTTTGTTAACTTATTTTAATTTATATTAAAATATTTGTTTAAAATTTAGATTTTTAATAACAAAAAGACATGTTTTTTTATTTATTAAAATACAATTTAAAAATTTTATACTTATTTAAAATTAAATCAAACTACTTTTCATTTTATATAAAATTTAATAAAATTATAATATAAAACTTATTTGATTTATAAGATTTTATTATATTTTTAAATTATGTATAATAAATTTAAATTTCACATTCTAAATTATCCTATATGATTTTATTTTATATAATCTTTAAATATTGTTATAATTAAAAAAAAAATGTTAAAATGACCTTTTTTTTAAATGTGACAGTATTGCATGATTTTTATTATTATTTAAAAATTTACAAGTAAATTAAAATAAAACAGAAAATACAAAAATATTTTTAAGCTACTTTATCAATATTAATCTTCTACTTTTTTGAACTAAACTATTTATAAGAAAAGAAAAAAAAATAAAACTAAATTAAATCAAACTAATAAATAGATATTAACAATCTAAAAAGAAAGGTATAATTACTATTATATTAAAAATTTGTTTAATATGTATCATAAATATAAGTTGCTAAAATGTAGAAAATTATTATGTGATAATATATAATATAGAAGGAAAACTATATAAAATCTAAAAGATAATGAATCATTTTTGATATTTTTTAAGAATTTATATTTTTATAAGGATTTATATTTTGTAATCAGATATTATAGACTGATATGAATATATTATCAAATAAGAAAAAAGAAATGTAAATTTAAATAAAAATAAATTAAATATTAATTAAATAATATAGTATCTTATTTATTAAATTTTTCTTAAATAATACTTGATTAAATTTGAATATTTATATTTGGTATATTAAATATAATATTTTAAATAATATTTTATTAGATAATGATTATTAAAATTTATCTTTAATAATTAAATATAATGTATTTTAATCTGAACAATTAATTTTATAATTTTTTATTACTATTATAACTTTTATTTTTATATAATAAATCATATATTTTTCATATAATTTATAAAAAATATTATAAAATTATATAAAAAATTTTTTTTATCATTACAAAAAATAATTTTCTCTGCTTATACTAAGATTATTTATTTAAATTATTTTTGATATGAATTTGTTATTTTATAAGTTTTAATATAATTCTATTTTTTTTTGAATTTTATAGATCTTTTAATAAGGTTTGAATATAATTTTACTAAATATTACTTTTTATCATTTATATAGCTTACAAAACCTTTAAATTTTATTTACTAATCTTAATATATACTGTAAAATATCTATATTATTATTTAACTAATATAGATTAAGCTTATAAAAACTTTTTTATAAAATTATTATTAATTAATATTTTATTTAAACTAATATTATAAGTTTATTTTAGATATTAAATTTATAACCATTAAAAAATAATTATTTTTAATATTTATACAAAGTTTTAATTAAAAATATTTTTTAGTGATATAAATATTATATAAAAATAATTGAAGCTATTAAATAATTATTATTTTATATTAAATAATATTAATTTTAAATAGTTTATATTTTTTAATTTTATATATTTATAATAAAACTATCTATTCTTAAATTTATAATTATAAAAGATCAATTATTCATATAAATTATATTAAAAAATTAATATAAAAATCTTTGAAATTATAAATATAAATTCTTTAATATATTTGAAATTTTAGAAAATTAATATAAATATTAATAATTAATTTTTATATTATATGTTAATTAAATATTAATTTTAATATTGAATATAAATTAACTATTAATATTTAATATTAAATATTAAATATATTATATGTTAATTATAATAAATAATATTTATATTATTAAATGAAATAATTCTTAATCTAATAATAAAATTTCAATAAAAATATTATTATAAGAACTTTTAAT